AATGTTGTACCAGGGCCGCCATCAAGACACATGAGAAACCTGTTATTGCTGAGAGGCTGACACACAACACACACTAGACTAGTGACTGTTAAAGGTGTTGTATGTAAGTTTTTGTCTCTTCTTCTAAAGCAGAAATACCATAATATGTTTGCAGATATTTAAGAAACATTATAAGTAAACATTCTTGTTTATCTAAAAAACAATGCTGAAGTCAGTTATTCTTCTTTGAAAATGTGTGTTACGTGATGGAAAGGCTGTCTTTGTTTTTGTTTTTTAACATGCCCAATGCCACTTTAGCCAACTCAACAATCAATTCAAGGCATTGGTTAGAAGAACTAAAACTACTTTAAATATGAAAAATAATTCTTCTATTGTGTGCTGTTGCTTTTATTTAGAGCACAATTTAAATCAGCTTTAAGGCTCGAGACTTACTGCTGTTGGTCTTCAACCACTGGGTGTCTTACTTACATACTGCACCTTTAATAAATAACTTATGAATGGGTATAATTGTATACAGAGGCATTCTGTACTTGCACTCCAAGACAACAATCAAAAATGGTAAATCTAAATCACCTTATAACCACAGAAATTACTGCACAAATGACCAGGCTGCTGACCTGATATTACTACTAGCACTACTGGCAGACATGTAAACTATTGTAGTCTTGTATTCTTATATAAAGCACCATCATCATATCAGCAAGGCAAATCAGCATAATTTTCCATATCTGTTCAATGCCAATGCTTACATTTCAACCAATCATTTTGAGAAAACAACCCTTATCGGCCGGTTTATCAAACTTGTTTCATTAATATTATGCATCCCTAATATGGAGCTTGACCACGTCCAGGGAAACTGGCCAGGATTTCTAACTCCATTTACTGGCTCTAAATCCTCCTAAAGTTATTAGCATTTATCTGCTTTGCTTAGGACACTCAATGGTGCACTGAACAGAGACAAAACAACAAGATAAAAGCAAAAACAATTGAAATCAATTCATACTTTTGCAAACAGCATTGTATGGCTCATATTTCCAATCCTCCACCTTTATTTGGGATACTTAACGAAAAGCCACAACAAGAAATATTTTGTGAGATATTTCAAGCCAGAGACTTTTTTCCAGGGTATTTGGGGCAAAGCCTGGATTCTGCAAGCCAAGTATGGAAAGGAGATTTTCCAAAACAATTGCATGTGTTTGAAAAGCTTTAACAAAAACCTAACAAAATCTTTATTGTCCTCAAAAAGCTATTGGATTCAACCAGACCCGATTGGCATTAGGACATGCTTCTGCATGTGTGATATGTATTGTAATGTTCTGTCTCATTTTTTATGTTGTATTTTTCGACTATAAACCAATGTTGCTTGAATAACCTCAGTTTTTATTGCCCTGTCTGTGAGATGAGTATTTAAAAATGACACAATGACCTTTGACACAACAACTGACAAATAAAATGCTCAATCCTCACCCATCAACAGATTGTCAGCAAGTCTGGCACATCTGGGTTAAGAGATAAGTGAAGGTCAAACTCAATTTAACAAGGATCGACTTCTTTTTTTTAACCTTTAAGGATTAGTTCACCAAAAAAATGAAAATTCTGTTATCAATTACTCATGTCGCTCCAATACCCAGAGACCTTTGTTTGCCTTGAGAACACAAAGTCTAAGAAAGGAATCAAAATACGTTATTACTAAATAAACATGGAATGCTTTGACAGTGTCTTTCTTTACTTTTCTGGATCTGATCTTCTCCCATCATCTATTTTTCGCCTTGCTGTCTATGAAGGTTTAACAAGCTCTCGGATTTCATCTAAAATATCTTTATTTATGTTCTGAAGATAAATAAAGTTCTCAGGGCATTGGAACAACATGAAGATGAGCAAATAATAACATAATTTTCTTTATAGGGTAAACTAATCTATTAATACAACAACCCAACAAACACAACATACATTTCCTTTTATTTCTTGATCTGTTAAATTTCTTGATTCTGATTGGCTAGAAGATCTGTTATAACATCTGCATCTGAGACGCGTTCGTGTAAATATATATATATATATATATATATATATATATATATATATATATATATATATATATATATATAAATATGTGCAATATCAAACGAGTTGCAGTGTGAGGTGGCTGTATATCATTACTGGTGGGAGGTGTGCGTTGGTGCCCTAGTATCCCACCAGAGACAACATACAGCCATATCGCACTGCTACTCATTCAACAGCATATTAGTGTATATAAAAAAGAAAATCCAACACAGAGAATCTAAAAACCCTTTTTTATGAAATACTACTTTCCTCCGCCATTCATTCACATTGCAGCTGACGTCAGAACAACAGAAACTGTCGCTACTTTACAAACGTCACTTTGGGGCTAGTGTTTGAATGATTCTCTAACATAGTCTAAAGTGATGACAAAACAGATTATTCTGCTGAAATTTTAAGATTATAAGGCTGAACGGCATGAAATGCGATCAGTCTAGACAGATTTCCCAGTATTCTCTGCTGCAATCGGGATATCACAATAATTATCCCCGAAAAAGCCAAAGCAAAGCAAACACTGCGAGAAACACTACCAGACTATGGTATAAATACAGCACTACAACATACAAAAGTGAGAGATCGACTTAGAAAGTCACTTACCTGTTTTAAAATTATTTGATAAGCTGTAATTTGAAATTCCACAGTTTTTCTCCTCTAAGGGCTTATTATGTCTCTGTCACCATCTTTTGGCGGAACGTCAATCGTCTTTGCTCTGCTCAATAAGGCAGGCTGATGGGTGCTGAAGCACTGTATCTCCAAAATTACAGACGAATTATCATGTTTGTAAACATTCAGGATGCGTGGCAGCGAGGTTGCAGAAAAAAACAGGAGTGCTAGCATTTACAGCAAGGGAATGACATCTGATGCGGTACAGAGTTTGTTGTTGCATTAGAAATAAGTTATATTGATTACATATTATTAATATTATTTACATTATGCTTTCAGCGTATTATAACAGCTTGTCACCCAGTGATAAGCACAGTGATTCGGCAAAATTAACATTAAAGTGCGCGGCGTTCGTCTGACAGGTCTATTTGCGTTAGCACCTTCCTAATGGCTTTTGGATAAGATGAAATGGCCCAGCATCCAGCCCGAAATATACAACTATCTCATTGAAACTCCAAGTGTTTTTACAAAGGAGAAGTTAAAGGCCTACAAGTCTTTGAATGCCAACAGTCTTGTTCTGTGTAGTCATGTGCAAGAAAAAATGTTCCATGATTACCAGATTCAAAACCTTGTAGTGCTAAAAACCGAGGTTCTGCCTAGCCAAAGACAAGGAAAGAAGACGGAGCTATACAAGGCCTGGGTAATCATCAACAAGCAAAACTACTGCATTCTGACAGCGAGCAGCACTTGTACAGCAGGGTATGTGAACTCACATTTTTACATTTCATTCTAAGCATTCAGTGTCCGAAGTTTAATTAACTACATTTAACTGTTTGCTGAAATCATCAAATGAGTCAATCAAAAATGAGTAATGTGTATGATTTAGCATAGCGTGAACTTACCTGGTATGAAATGAGAACTGCAGAGTCAGACATTTTTTATTAAGTCCTCACTCCAGCTCTCTTTTAGCCAAAGACATCTGCGGTTGGCATTAAAACCAATGTGGTGTACTGTAAAAGTTAAGTTTTCTATTTTTGGAAATTGGCATCCTACTGCACAACTTGACAAGTTTGCTATTGCAACCGGGAACCAGTGTGATGTCATGTGTGATGTAGGTTGGTAATTTCTCTATAAATCTTCAAAATATGCTATGTCCTCATAAATAAACTGCATAGTTGCAATCTAAACAACTACATTCTCACCTAAAAAGCCTCAAAAGTACATTAAGTTGTCGAACAGCCGCAATATGTGTCAAACTGTAGAGAGTTTATAGATCTGCTGTCACTCTATGTGGGTGAAATAATACAGAAGGGCAGTGCGAGTGTTTTTATTGCAGAATATCGCACTGCAATCAGTCAATCAGATTTGAGAACTAGACAGAACTGTTGTATATATTAGATGAATCCATGATGAAAGATTAGATGTGGTCAGGTCATACATCCCACATAGGGTCTCTCTCTTTTACTGTCCACCTGTGTCTGATTTAAAGTAGGCAAATCTAATGTGTTGTAACTGATGAAAATTACTGTCATTTTTACCCATTTGGGCAAATATTGCACAGCAAAAGCAATAATAGTTTCAGCTTGTCTACAATCTGGCAAATGACCACGGAATAAGCGGGATAAAGTATATATCTGACTATGTGTACATGCCCTAACCTCTGCTTTGGAAGATCCTGAAGATTCTTTCAGGCTGAACAGATGTTAGTGCCTAAGTGCTGCCAGGTGTGAGATCAAGCTCAGATAACAAGAATCACTCTGCAATCTTGTAATCAGCCCTGGGTAATCGCCAAGAGCTTCCAGTAACCCTCGTCATAAGAGAGAGAGAGAAAGAAAGAGAGAGGCGGGGAAGAAAATAACTCTAATATGTGACCAATTTCCTCCCCTGTCCATAGCATCTGCCCTCAATCAGCTGCACTCTTGTGCTCAGTGGAGTGCTCACTCTTACCTTTCTCTATCATAGTGCAGCCTTTCCGCTCACTGTGATTTCCTCGACACTGTGGGCTACCAAAGCATTTTGACTTTCTGTTCGGGTGGATGGCTACATGTCAAATATTAAATCCCAGAAAAAGAACTTATATGCCTTTCTGGAAAACCCCACAAAAACACCCATGAAAACAGGAATGCTAATATTATGGTTCATTCAGAATCCAAATCAGGGAGTCACAGCAGCATTAAAATTGTCTGAAAAACATGCGCCGTAGATGAGATTTTTGCCCTGAGATTGATATTTTTCTTGTGTTAAGTATTCTTTGTAGACTATTCAGAACTGTTGAAGAATCATCCTCTCTAACTGAAGACAAATTACATTTTGGCATAAATCGCTTTAATACCACTCACCATTACTGATTTCAGGCAAGTCAAATTTGGTGAAGTCCCACCACTGCAGACGATAGGTAGTGTTAGCGATGTTGCTGGCCACTGCAGATTGACCGTCTCCAATTACAGCACCTTCAAAGACAAGCAGAAAAAAGTAGATATACCAATTTATAACTTTCATAATAGAACTGCACAAAAATGATATAAAAAAATATGTAATTTTCTTGACAAGCTATACTTGGAGAAAATTACTCAATGTGAAGTGATTTTGAGGGAAAATTAATCTCAATGGAAAAAAGTGAAAAATTACTTTTTTACGCTGAAGGCTTTTTAATTTGAAATGTAATGTTTGATTCAATGAGTCAGATTAATTCAGTGATTTGTCTGAAAAAGTAGGAAGGTGGCATTCAAAATCTATAAATAGAACAGTACCGATATTTCTTTCTTATCTTCTTCATCAAACAGTAACCCATCAGACTATTTTGAAAAGAAACATTAGTTGCAGACGTGTACAAATTCAATGTTTCACTCTTAATGTTGTGACACACAGATTTGTGTTAAAGGTGCAGTAGGTGATTGTCTTAAGAAACATGTTTTGTTTTGCTGGTTGAATGTCTCTTCACATTCCAATAGTAATGATTAAATTATCTAAATGTATTTATATGTATTTCTATATTCTGGGTAAGGCATAAAAATAAAAAAATTTTCATCTAATTAAAAATTGTCGGGCTGATAATTCCTATAATTGTGATAAGTAGCCCAAACTGTATGTTAAGAAATGTAGATTTGTACACACACGCACGTTCATGTGCACACGAGAAAGAGAGTGAGAGCGGTAAACACAAATGCTCAATTAGTTACCATGCGGCACGCTGGAGAAAGTATGACACCATGGTTGAACTATTACTTTTAGACAAATAATGTTATGTTGTAAAATTCTTTTAGTCACGCAAAGCTTATGTAGATTTTGTTGTTATGAATGGGTTATAAGCACAGAAGTGTTGTTCAGCCAATGAAATCTACCGGTGAAAGATTGATGTGACTATTCTTAATTACATAAGGTCTTTTTACAGCATCAATAATGTAGATTTTTATTTAGTTTAACAACAAAACATCAGTAAATATTACTATTCCACCTAGCCTGCTTTACTGAGGTGAACATGGTTTTACATTGATTTATTTTTGAACAATGACAACCTATGACGCACTCCCTATATTGTTTACCATGCTATTTTGAATTTTCAGTCTGAAATAGCATGCATGTATGGCTTAGTAAGAAGTATAATATCTGCATGCTGCCAGCCAACCACTAAGCATACAGTAATCATTTTAGGAAAAAGCGCATGAGAGAGTGAGACCAGCGATCCTTGCATACATGAAATATTGCACAGTATGAAGTCTTGCTTGCTACACAACTGAAAACGTGCTAGATATAATACAGTTTTCTATTCAGAATTGTAGTATTATAAGGTATTATAAAGTTTACATTAACTAGTGGGTCTCTGTCATCTTTATTTGTGCGTTTGTGATATCAGGAGGCGTGGCTTTGGATGGCAGGGGTGGGACTGTGTTTCAAAGATATTATGCTTACCGGTTAGCATTTTGGCAGATCCCTTACTGCACCTTTAACGTTTCCACTTAAATGGCAGCCTACCTGCACAATGTAACAATTGTCAAGCCATATCTCAATACTGATTAGATTTTTAAAATCATGCAACAAAGTAAATTGATCAAAAGGGACATAAAAACATGCATAATGTAAAAATAATTATTAAATATATATGCTGTGATTTTTATAAGCATATTGCACAGGACAACAGTTTTTTAAGAATAAAACTGAGAACCAAACCAATATATTGGAATGATTACTGAACGATTGTTAAATGCTGAGGACTGACTGAATATTCAAGTATAAATTCAAATGTAAATGCATTGAAACACTACTACTGCATTCAGACTCCTTTAAGATAGTATATATATCTTACCCGAAGAGACAGTACAATTTGTACATTTGACCGCAACAATAGATTTCAACAAGGAAACTCAAACAGCATTTGACTGCAATATCTGCTGTGTTTTGTTGTGGTTAACAGGGCATCTCTGAGTGCAACCCAAGACTTGAACACTCAGTTCAGTGCAGACCACATGAAAATAAATAACATGAAGGGTTCACTGATACTGGTCAAACTCACTGCGTATATTCTTGTTCAGTTAAAGGAAAGCAGATAAAAATAAATAGCCAAAAAAAAAACCAGACAAAAGTCTCTCATATCTCAACTATATAATATATCAGCAAACCCTCTTTGCATCAGATCTAGACAATAACAGTTAAGCTTTGTTTTGCCTCAGGAATTTAGTCTATCTGAGATAACTTGTTACGTGAAGATTCTTACATAAACTTGCCTGCACTTTGCAAATCAGAGAACGTACTCGCCACTGAATTTAATAGAGGCCCCTGCTTGCAACATAACTCTTTTCAGAGATAAACAAGGAAATGTCAGGCTGTCCTCTTCAGTGCTCAGCCCCTGTCACCATAATTACAGAAGCGAAGAGGGAAGGCTTTGGCCAAATAGTACACTTAGAGGTCCATTTGGCAGTAGAGGGTCGATCCTGGGCCTAGCTAACAGATTAGATTTGCCTGTTATGACCTGAACTCAAGGAGACGTAATGCAGACATAAATATCTATTACGCAGCTTCGCCCTGCACTCTGCCGTCTGCCCATTACGGTGCACAGACACCCAGGTGTGGTGAGCTGGCGTTCAGACGGGCTTTCAGGAGATGCTCTAACAGCCACGAGCTAATGAGCTGGAGGGATTCTCTCACTAGAAAAGACCCTTTGGGAACCAGACGCTATGGACTTAGCACTAAACCTGACCTGAAATAAAACACATCTGATAGTGCTGTATAAGAAAAGTATAAATCGAAAAGTTTGGCATCAGTAAAATATTACACTATTACAGGCTTACCAAGCCTGCAATTACTTGACTAAAAAGCACTGAAAATATTAATGTATTATCAAATGTTATTTAAATATTAAAATATATTTGATAAAATATTGCAATTAAACAAGTAAACTAAATTTTTATATGAATATATTATTATTATTATTATTATTATTATTAATGTAAATTCTTGATGTGATGATGGCAAAGCTGAATTTTCTAATTGATATTTCAGAAATCATTCTAATATGCTGGTTTGCTGCTCAAGAAACATTGCTTATAGCTAACATTTGAAGGGAATAGGGTATATAGGGGGGATAACTGGGAATAGAACACAACCAGAAATTATGTTTTTAACTACAGCTCCAGGTGTAGTTGCTAACTTACAAGTTTGCAACGCGGTTTGCGAATGTTTGAACGATGGATTTGGGAAACACAAACCCAACAAACTAAGTTTATAACAATGGAACTTAAAACCATAGTTGGCTAACGATGGTTTTCGGAAACACAAACCCTGGGCCGGCTGTTTGACTTGGGGGGCGTTCGCTTGCACTGGCCCGACAATGGAAAAGCGGTTGTACCTTGCTCCACTTGGTGGATATTGCGCGAAACACAAGTGTTTTTTTTTTTTTTTTTTTTGGAAAGGCGGCACAGCACATGACAAATTGCAGCACTACGCATGAAGAAATGTGCATTCTCAGCAGCCATATCTGTATTACATTTGTTAATACTTTTACGAAAAAATACATATAGAGAATATAAATAGAAAAATTTCATTTTCTGTTATTTTACAAATGTTAGATGATGAGGTCAAAACAAAACGTTATAATATTATATTGCACCTTCTGCAATTACTTGATTAAAACATACTGAAACAATTATTAAGTATTATTTAAATATGAAAAATATTAAAACATATCGCAATAAAAAAGTAAGGTGATATAAAAAAAATTGACAATTGTTATGCAATTACTTGACCAAAACATACTTAAACCATTATTTTATTATTGAATATTATTATAATTTTATAATATATCAGAAAAATGCTGCAATTAAAAAATACATTTACATTTATTTTAAAATGCAATTTCTCTCACTGACAGTTTGTGGGTGTGTAGGTCACACAATTAATTATTTCATGTTAATTGCGTTTATGGATATTTTCTTCTAAGCCAAATTACTTTGTCACCTTGCTTCTCTTCTGACATTTCTCATTGACAGAAAACAATTTTACAAGTATGCCTCAGTACAATGAAAGCATTTTTCTTTTCACTTCAGACAAACACTTTAAAATTAAATCTACTGCATTTAAAATGTAATATTAATGTGAGTAATTTAAAAGTAAATCCACAGTAATAGGAATATCTTTATTGTAACAGAGTTAAAATAAAAATAAAATGGTTTTAACAACCAATATTTTCATTGTCAACAAGCAAAAGCAGTTTTACTGAGTAGACAGAGAGACTATAAGACAAACGAAGGACTTGAAAGGAAACCTTTCAAACGTGACATGAGGGATGAATGATGGATAGGTGGAAAAAAAGAGGTCACTGTATCCATTATTACTGAATCTTCAGTTATTTTTTCTTCAGAAGTGCAGGTTAACAAAAGTGCAAATCACAAAAGAAACTGGACTAAAAAGTCATTAAAATGACTGACACGTAAAACGCATCAAAGCGACACCATGCCATTGTCTGAAAACAAAGGAGATAATTAATCATTTTATAAATGCTTGTATTTTAAAGACGTTTTTTGCTAGAGTGCGGTGGAACAGATGAGGAACAGACTGAGTTTACAAGAATTAGCCACACTTAAGTGACAATTTCATCAAAACAAACAAAAAAGGGGGCAAGTATGTGGGATTAAGCATTTATCATCTGTCACAGAGCAGTTATGTGCTAAACCTTTTTCACAGTTATCATTTTTCCCATAGACACACAAAATTGTGCAGGAATTTTTTTTTACTTTTGTAGAGTGCAGAGAGCCAAGGAGGATTTTATAAGGTGTATAGAAGCTACAAAGACACTGGGGAATAAATTCATTTACATTTTTACATTCATTTACATTTTTACCGATTACAGAATAAATGTACCATCAATGCAGTGGTATTTCAACACACAGAGTTCAAAAGTTGGTTTAACAGGTTTGTTGAGAGAATAGTTAGAGAATTACACATTTGTCATTGCTCA